ATATATAGAGAGATTTAGCGACATATAGAGATAGATATAAATAAAACATTGTTCCACTCCACGCCTTTTTATGATACGCTATCGCATTTTATTTCACTTTTGGTCCTCTCCGCTGGTCATCACCATGGCACCTCCGCCACAACAAACACGTAACGCCACTGCGCTTTACAGTCTCTCTCCTCCGGTGGATCTTTACCAAAAAAAATGAAGTGTTTATTCGGATTGATAATTTATGAAAAGGGGTCAGGATCAGGTGCAATGGATCTAGCTGCAGATGAGAAGGAATCAATTTAGATCCCCAAACAGTCTCATGGTGGCTGATCTTATGCCATTCAGTAGGCCAGCGTCGGACAAGATGCACCTTTAGTTGTAATTCCTGATTCAGTCACTTGTTTTTTTGCAAAATATTCCCAAATTCAAAATTTCAAATTGGCATCCGCGTCAGACAAGATGTACCTTTGGTTGTAATTCCTGATTCGGTCACTTGCTTTTCCACTGCAAAATATTCCCAAATTCAAAATTTCAAATTGACATCCGTATCGAGCTTGCTTCTTGTTGACTGGATAACCAGCGGTCGTCATGAAGCAGGGGAAAAATGGGCCTTTTTCTCATTTTAAGAGCACTAACTGCATTCTTTTAGAGGACAACGAACCCGTATTTCTTGACACGATACTTACTTTCTCCTTTTTATATCAGCCGTCATTTTTATGTTGCTTTATCAAAAGGTAGCTGGTCCATCATTTCTTGAATGTTTCTAATGTCGTTAGAGCAAGAAAGTAACAGCAGTATCTTGTCTCAATTTGTAATGAAAAAAACTAATTTTGAGTTTGTGATGGTTGATCTTACATTTTGGAGTAATGTTTAGTCATTCACGATTATGACATTTGAATAATTTAACATGATATGTTCAAGTTCTATAACTACTACTGGTGGTGGGAAACTATCAAGATCTACACTAATAAGACAACCTTTTCCCAATACAACACAAGAAAATTCATTAACCATCAAAAGACAAAGTCCATATAACAATTGAAGGAACTAGTCCATATAACAAGTCCATCAAAAGACAAAGTCCATAAAAAGATAGCCAGTTTTCAAGCTACATTATCAATACTAATCATCACTCTCAAACTTCCCGTGCTAATCATCAAATATCTTATCTTGTCTATAAGAACCTAAATCTTGACAACTAGTACAAGAAAAAAGATTAATAGAATCATTTAAGTCCGGTCCCCAAAATAGAAATCATTTTATAACTAGAAGAAAATGTGAATTGTCAATTGAGAAAATAATCCATGAAAAATAATAATGAGAATCAACGCAACCTCCGAGCCTCTCTTTCGGACTCGAGCAGGGTAAGGACATCACCCTCCCTAACAGGGCCCTTAACATTTCGCATAATGAAACGGTTCTGATCATCAATAAACTTCACTCTCACCTGAGTCACCTGACCTCGTGAACCTGTTCTTCCAATTACCTTCACCACTATCGCATGCTTTATCTGCGACTCCATTTTCTGTCAACATCAACTTCCACTAATTCATTATTTATTTGCACATACATCTTACTTAGCTTGCGCAACAAACAATCAATAATTAATTAATTAATGAATTATACACTATTCACAAACATTCTGACAAGGAAACACAGTAATCAGAAAATCCGAATCAAACAGTATCAGAAGAAAAAGTCAACTTTACATTCATAAATACTCCGACATACAAACTGGAAAATTCCAATTAACGAAGATGACACGTAAATTAACGCTAAAGGCAACATATATGAAAATTAGATCACCTGCAAACGAATTAAAGAGAGTTCTGAAAGGAATACAGTTAATATATCGTATAACAAAGATTTCAGAGAGGTTAGATTATGAAAGAAGAACCTGCACTTGACCAACACAAAGAAATATGAATCGACGGCGTAAAAGAAATTGTTCGATAAACCCTAGTCCTAGTGGGAGAGCCGTTTTAAAGGAGCAATGGACAATTACATTTTTACCCACGTTAAATTCTTTTTTTCTTATCTATCAAGTATCAACTACCATCAGGGGGCAAAAAGGCCCATCACATGTAGACATGGCCATGGGCCGGTTTTGGGCCTGTAACCGGCCCGAACAGGCCCGTTGACGGCTCAAACCGGCCCGTTGACCGGATGAACCGGCCCGGACCCGTGAACCGGCCCGTCCTACCCGGGACGGGCCCGGTTCTAAGAAATGGTGAACCGTGAATCGCCGGGCCGGTCCGGCGGTTCACCCGGATTTAAAAAAAAAAAATTCAAAAAAAAAGCAAATATCGGCTAGTGAACCGGCCCGAACCGGCCCGGGTGAACCGGCCGTTATTTACTTTTTTTTGAATTCCCCCCCCCCCCCCCCAATTTTCCTATAAATACCCTCACACCCCAATTTTGTTTTTTTTTGAATTTTTTTTGCCTCCCCCAATTTTTCCTATAAATACCCTCACACCCCAATTTTTCCTATAATTTACTTATTCATCAAATATTTCAAACTTGTGCTTCTAAATTGACTTTTCATTTATTTCCTTTTCCTTTTTCTATTTAAAGTACTTCTTTTAATTTACTTATTCATCAAATATTTCAAAAAAAAAAAATTCAAAGTTTCCGGGCCGACCCGGAACCGGCCCAAACCGACGGGCCGAACCGGCCCGCTGAACCGTCCATACTACGGGCCGGGTCCGGTTCCGGAAAACGTGAACTGTGAACCGGTTTGAACCGGCCCGTGGCCGTGTCTAATTACATGGGACTTAAATGCATTTTGGTCCACAAAAAAAAACAGTCTCTCAATTGAACCCAACACCATGTCTTTAGTCTAAAATACAATTCCTATCAATTCTATCCATTATGCTCTAACTTCCTTAATATTACACATTGACCCCGGATTTAAACAAATATATCACATTAACCCCCAAAATATTTTTTTTTTCAGAAAATAATTTCTTTTCTGAATTTTTTTTTTCCGGCCAAATTCCAGCGTTGATTTATTATTTTTTTTTTCGTGAATTTTTTTTCCGGCCGGTTTCCGGCGTTGATTTTTTTTTTATTTTTTTTTGAATTTTTTTTTTCTTAGAAAAAAAATATTTTAATTAATATTACTGTTTTGGCTACTAAAATTGGGGTTAAAATTAGTTAATTGATGAAATTGGGCTAAATTGGGACGTAAATCATGAAATCATAGTTGAATTGGGTTTCAATGAATTTGGGGTAATTTTGGTATATATAAAAGGATTTTCTTTATTTACAAATAAGTTTGAATGAACTGGATGTATTTGAAAGACAAAAAAATTGGATGTCCCTCTTTTAATTAAATGCCCTTGCCTTGTCATGTTCTTTTTGTGATTTACCCTAAATCTTATTAGAATTTTGTTTAATTATTATAAGTACATAAATAGTTAATGCAGGGATGCAGGCATAATAAAAGACAAAAAATGAAAATGAAATGCATGTTATCTGCTTGGGCCTTGGGGAATTGGTTAGTGGGCTGGGTATTAGTATCGTGTTGGGCTTTTGACCGGTGACCACAACAAGATCCAAGTCAATGGATAGACACACTTGCACGTCGTCCACAGACATATATGCATGATGGTTGGCACGTATTAATAATGAATGAATATAATAGTAGCTAGAAAGAATGGATATGAATATGATGGTGCGTGTCACGTATATATTAATATTGACTTGTGGTATGTATATGTATATATATATTCCAGAATGAATGAATGATCAATTAGTCATAAATATAATTAGTAACACAAGAAACAAGAGAGCTAATTAGAATTAAAAAGAAAAGAAGAAGAAGATGAAAATGGGGGCCGGGCGTGGAATGATAGTTGGGTTGTTGATGATGATGGTGGTGGTGGTAGCAGTTGAGGGGGGCAGCAGGGAATATGAATATGATGATGCTCTGAGTTATGGATACTACCATGGAAACTGTCCACAGCTTGAGGGTATCATCCACAGAAAGCTTCACAACTGGTTCAAAAATGACTCCACTCTTGCACCTGCTCTCATGAGGCTTCACTTCCACGACTGCTCCGTCAGAGTACGATATATCATATCGACGTCATTTTAAATATTTATTTCTTCTTCAATTCAATTCTTCTGAATTATAGACATATATGTATATTAATTAATTAATGAATGAATGAATGATCAATATATACGTACGTACGTAGGGATGTGATGCATCTATTCTTCTGAACCACAAAGGAAGCGAGAGAAAGGCAAAGGCAAGCAAGACCCTTAGGGGTTTCCAAGTGATTGACGACATAAAGTCTGAGGTTGAGAGAGTTTGCCCAAAGATAGTTTCATGCGCAGACATTCTAACTGCAGCTGCAAGAGATGCCACTGTTGCTGCTGGTGGACCCTTCTGGTCTGTTCCTTATGGCAGAAAAGACGGCAGAATCTCATTAGCCAAGGAGGCTGAATCTGTACCTATGGGCCACGAGAAAATCACAGACCTCATCGAGCTTTTCCAGTCTAAGGGTTTGAACATACTTGACTTGGTTGTTCTCTCAGGTGCCCACACCATTGGTAGAACCTCATGCGACTCATTGCAGTTCAGGCTCTACAACTACAAAGGTACTTCCAAACCCGACCCCACCATCGACCCTAAATATCTCAACTTCCTCAGAAGAAAATGCAGATGGGCTTCCGAGTACGTTGACCTAGACGCTGTCACACCAAAGGCATTCGACGTACAGTACTATAAGAACCTTCAGAAGAAAATGGGTATTCTTTCCACTGACCAGATGCTCTACTCCGACTCAAGGACTGCTCCCCTCGTCTCCGCCTTTGCTTCCCAATCTTCCGTCTTCCACCATCAGTTTGCTGCCTCAATGGTCAAGCTTGGAAACATTCAGGACTTTTTAGCCGACCAACACTCTGAAATTCGACTCAACTGCAACTATGTCAATAAGTGATCATCCATCATATACCTTCAATGCAGGAATATAATACATATGCATGCATGCCCTATTTAATTATTATTAATTAATGGAGTAATTGTTTCGCTTCACAATCTGTGTACCTGCCTTAATTTAAACTTTTCTTTCCTATTCCTAATGTCATGATCCTCATTACTTGATGACACGACACGAAGACCTTCCCATAATTAACACAAATTTTTGTTGCATTATTATATTCCTCCCTTGTTTCTCTTCATCATTAATGTACTACTTATGATATATATATATAACGTACTTGTAAATGGTACTTGATGATGCTAAAAATAGATCACCTTATATAGTTGAGATTGAAAGAGCTGGGAAAGCAAAGTGGGTCACTGCTCACGTGCTAGATAGCCCTGAGATAACTGCGAACAAAAAACACATGAACTAGGCCGGGGGTTGATCCGGCGGAAACCCCTCCGACGCTCAAGTCAGACGTGCGGATAATGGAAATAGTTGGGAGAATATGACCCCTAGTATTATTTGGATAATAGGGCGTACCTTTAGCAAATGAATTATATCGTTATTTATACCATAGATGAGATCGTTGAGCCCAAACCTTATTTGAAGGTGATTGGGCCTCGGTGATATTAGTCTTCAATATTGGGCTCGTGCCCAGTAGGTAAATAAATTGTAAGTCCATTGGGTTGGCCCAATTAGGCATATCAGTACTGTATATATATATATATCTCAAAATAATCAATCCCTTCCTCATGCCTTGACAGTACATTTTAAGTGGAGCAATTAAAAAGTAAAATATATATAGTTAAATGGTTTTTTTGAAACCGTTGTCCAGAACCTGATCTTTATATGATGGTTTTGAATCCGTCAGTGAAATGTTGTTGTGGTGACATTCAACGTGTTTTTGCACAAGCAACATGAGCGCGGTACCAGTGCGTAGATTATATTTTTGGAGTTTAATCTTTGGGAAACATATTAAATGTTGATCATGCATGTAAAAGTACTCTTAGACTCTCTCATGTATGCATCTAAATATAGGCACTAAGCCGCCACAACATTGTTATCAAAGTGTGACCAAATGAATAGACATGCCTATTCATTAAGAAAACAAATGAAAAATAGGTTTGTTCAAAACTATATATTGAAAGAAAGATGTATAGTTGGATTAATTAAGATATGAATTTCTCATCGATCACCAACTAAATTCTCATTGCACTAGTTGAATGAAAGATACATATATATGTTGTAGTACTGATTCCATTTGAGTCGTCATTGAATCAGAAAATTAAGAGCATGGAGTTAATTTATTTTGGCAATAAAGAGAAAGAGGATTAAAAATTAAGTCAATATATATATATCATGACTTGCACACAAAAATATATAATAAATTTCTTTAGTAAACCCAAACTGTAGATATATATAGATACAGCTTCACGCAAACAATAATTAATACAGCTGATGATGACGATGATGATAAATCAAAGGTTTTGAAATGATTACAAAATAAATAAATACATGACTTGCAGCAATAAAGAATGATAAGAAATCACATATACACATATGTATATAGTTTGAATTGGAGGACTTGATGATACAATCAAAAAGAAAAAGAAAAAAAAGGTATGTAGCAGATGATGAGATGAGATGAGATGAGATGAGATGAGATGAGATGGGGTTTATCGATGGATCAGGGCTTTGGCGGCTCTGCAGGTGGTGCAACTTCAACTTTTGGTGGCTCTGCATCAGTTGTGCAAGCAGTAGGCTCCGGCACCACCACCACGGGCGGGGCTTCCACCACAATCTCCTTTTCTTTGACCACAGTAGTACTGGTGCCGCAGCTCTCTTCAGTGGTGGTGGTGGTAGTAGCGTTCTCCTCAGCAGCCTCAACAGGTGGTGGGGCCGGGGCCGGGGCAGCCTCTTCTTTCTTCTCATCCTCTTTCTCCTCAACTACTATAAAGGTAGACACCTTCTCCAACACAAAAAATACTGGACCGGGTATATATCCTACCCCCACCTTCGTACCCGCTTCGCACACAGCCTTCGTTCCCGGAAATTCTATTAATTATATATATTATATATATTGCCGCCACAGAAACAGAACATGATCAATAATTAATTATTATTATAAGACTACTATGATGATGATGATGATGATGATGATGATGATGTGTGAATATAGATAGACATACCGATCTTAGCAAGTTCGTCTAGGAATTTCCCAACTGCCACCGAATGCTTCTTCAGAGCTGCGTCCTTTGGTTCCTTCACCAGACTCTGTTTTTTTTTGATAAATTAATATACCAGACAAGATCATGTAATTATTTAGACCAAATAATAATTAATTTACCTTAATCTCAGTGGAGGAAGCTCCATAGATTTCAATTACTTTGGGTTCAAGCTCCGTCTTTTTGTCTTCAAACTCTTTTGAGTATTGCTCCTGAAAATGAACATGTACGTTCCCATCATCATCATCATCATCATCATCATCATCATCATCTTCATCATCATCATATTATTAACCAACCTACCTAATTAGTTTATACTTATTATTATATACCTTAGCTTCATCGAAGGCCTTGCAAGCTTCCGCGGCAGCAACCTTTTTCGGGTTTTCGAAGACTTTCTTGATCTTCGGAAGAACCTTGGACTTCCAGTAATTCACCATATCTAAATCAAATTCAAAATTATATTTTCGTATATAATAAGATAATTAATAATTAATGAAGGAAGGAGATATAGTAGGTAGGTAGCTAGTCCAGATTCAGAACTGAACAGATGAATAAAACATACAAGTGAAAACCAACCTTTCTTGATTATCTGATAGTACTTAGATGGAGAAGAGTAGATAAGAGTATTGGAATAATTGGTTGTTGTTGAATGTATTAATGATGATGATGATCAGTGTTTGTGTGTATATATGTATGTATGTATGTAACTATATTAATGTATCTGTGCTCTCCCAATTTATTTTTATTAACACCCTAAAATATAATAATATATGATGAAACCTGGCTGGCTTCTCTCAACCAGTCAGTCGTCGTGTCACCAACAACAGATAGACACGCCACTTATTTTATTTCATTCAACAAGTTACTAATACATAATTGGGCTTAATTATTATTGACTCCCCATAATTAATTACGCTGATGACCCAGCAGCAGTTGTTAAAGAAATAAATCATGGAGGTCATAACTGTCATCACGTACCTATTGATTAACACAGAAGGATATTATTCGCTATATACGACAGCTGGCAATAGGTGGCAATGGGACCCATTTTGATGGCGATGCTGATCTGTGACAGGTCCCGAATAATGCAAACAACTCTCTCTCTCTCTCTCTCTCTATCTCTCTCTCGTGGCTTCGCTGGTTCTCACGCCGTCAATTAACGGGTATTTCTCATTCACGCCGTCAAATTTTATATAAAATTATTAGTACCAGTACCAAACCCCACAAACTATATGGATGCTTAATTGCGATTACGTTCATCATTGATCAATTCTCCATTATTAACTGGACTGCACTCCCCATGATCGAAGAAATACGAAAATTCTGTAATCCGTGGCCCAAGTGGAGGTTTAGATTCAGCCCAAGAAGTTCCAATTTTGCTGCCCATTACTAAAAATTAAAAAAAACTAAACTTTGCAGATAATTAAATAATGAAAAATGAATGGAGCAGGAAGTAGAAAAATGGCGATATAGGTACCTGCGAAAGTGAGAAGGGCTATGAATAAGAGGGGAAAGTGCATTCCGGGGAGCTCCATTAGAAGATTCAAAAAAGTTCAAAGCTCGAACAGACAAGGGGCCACTATTTCAACAACGACGCCGTTTATCAGTTCAATTGAATTCCAGAAAACCTATACTCTCGTATAATAGCTTGCAAACCATACTAGAGATGTAAACCACACTAGGCTAACCATGTGTGACAAGCTCGACCTAACGACCGTTGGCAAGGGGATTCGAACTTGGGTCAATTGACCCAAGCTCTCTTGCTCCAACCGCTAGGCCACCCTTGCGGGTTCCGACCCGGTTTTCTGTTCTATGGGTAGTGGTCACGTAGGGAAACTGAAAGGGGTATAAATTCAAGTGTAAAATTCGTTTTGTACCCCTAAATTTATCCTATGTTACACTTATCCATAAAGTATCATTTATAACATTTAACACAATTTAATTTGTATTTTAAATTTTAATTTATTAAAAGAGTTAACTGCAAAAAATCCCCTAAACTTTGAACGTTTTTGCACTTTATCCCCTGAACGGAAAAAAATTGCACGAGCATACCTGAACTTGCTATTCCGTTGCACTGACGACTAAAAAATCTATTTTTGGCTAATTTCTCGCCTGTTTGAGGAGGGGTAAAATCGTGAAATCACAAGGTTTTTATAAAAATGAAAAAAGAAAAAATATTGGCCTTTCCTCTCTCCCTCCCTCTTGCACCTGAACAGCGACAGGAAAAAAAAAACAGGGATGAAGATGAACACCATGAACACCAAACCTCGGTAAATTTTGATCTTCTTTTTCTCCTTGATTTCTTAATTAGGGTCCCAAAATACCTAAACAATTTATGAAATTCATCCTTAAATACCAAAACCCATCAGAAAAGTCCTAAGCACAAACCCACCGCACCAAAAATACCAAATTCCAATAATTCCCAATTTCAATCTCCTCCTCCTCCTTCCCCAACCATCGAACTCACCCCATCAGAATCCATTCGAGACCCAATTACCACCGCCATTTCCAGACCCAAATTCCCTAAGAATTAATTCTAAAGGCTTGGGTAAAAGCTTAGCAGAGATGGGGAGTGGCAGAATTAGAGTTCACTCACAGCACCAATCTCTTCACCGCCACCATCTCCGCCACAAAACCCACCGGCCTCGTCAAAGTTATATGGTGGTTGAAATTGGTGAGTGATTTCATGTTCGAGTCAAAACCCACAATTGGTGGTGGAAATTGGTTGCGTCAAAACCCACCAGCCACCCCCTCTCCGCCGCAAAACCCACAGTTATTGGCGGTGACATGAGAAACGGAAAGAAGATGAAGTTTTCTTTTTCTTTTTCTTTTTTTCTTTTTCTTTATATTTTCATATAGAAAAAACTTCTTTTATTTTTCTTTTTTCATTTATTTATATTTATTAAAAAGAAAAGGAAGAAAATTGGTGTAAAAGGAAAATACTAATTTACCCCAATTATTTTCACGTGTAAGGCACGTGATTTGGATTCCGGCCAATTTTGGCCTAAAATGGACATTTTGGACGTTCGTGTTAAGAATAATAGAGTTAAGGTATGATCGTGCAACTTTTTTCCGTTTAGGGGATAAAGCGCAAAAACGTCCAAAGTTTAGGGGATTTTTTGCAGTTAACCCTTATTAAAATTTCTTCTTTTATTAAAAGGTATAACTAAAATAATAATTAAATTATATAACTAAAAATATACAGTAGAACCTCGATAAAATAATACTCGATAAATTAATAACCTCGCTTAAATAATAAATTTTCCCGGTCCCGACTCGGGGACAACGTGCTAAATTAATAATTCGCTAAATTTATAAGATAATACACATTCGAAAATTTTAAGAAGCCCCATATATTATATAAATTAATAATGCATCAATATAATTCTTAAATTATATGGTACATTACATATTTTTTAGATCTATGAAGGTTTAATATAATATAATTTAATTGTTGCTTGTTTCTTGTTGAAGTTCACATTATCATCAATCTCGTCCCTCACTTTTCTTAAGATGGCTAGAACTTTCGGTATAGTTTTCTCATAACTCAATATAAAACGTTCTTGAATTAAATTAGTGGGTTAGTGTGGTTAAGGGATTAGTGGGGTGGTAGTTAATTATTATTTACTAGTAGTACACCCGTGCGATGCACGGAGTAGTATTTCTAAAGGTAATTAATAAAATATTTAAATATCTCATCATTAAAAATAGTAATAAAAAATATAAAATAAAATTTAATTAGGAAAATTAAATTGACAAAGAGCTGTATGAATTTAAATCGTCATAATATGAATTGATCGTTAAAGAAATGAAGTATATTGAATAAAACAAAAAATAATAAACTTGCCATACATGTATTCTACAACTCCTGCAATTGACGACATCATTATTTCGTTCTTTAACAAAACTGACTGATATATACGTATATAAAATATAAATACTGAAAAATACATTTCATTTAAATACATTTTGTAGCAATATAAAATTGTCTAAATACTAACATCCATTTACAAATTCGAGCACCGATGCTTCGCCTCTGAAGTCGCTTGTAGAAGTCAAAATTTGGACACTTGCAGCCTCTTGCTCCTTTTCCCTCTTGGCAATGCACCCGCAACAAAATCAAGATTGACCTCCGAGAAAGCCCTGACAAAGAGTTAAACGGGTGAGTTAGGCTTTTTAAGTTTATCAAAATTCTAAGTCATACTAAGATTTAAACCATGACTTGAATCACACTAAATAGAAACAAATATATTCTAATGCAATTACTTGATGCACCTTAAAGAAAACTAAATAACAAATTGTAAGATAAAATTACTAATTGCATATTATAGCTTTTCAAATGTCAAACATTTGTAAAAACATGAATTAAAATCAAACCCATCTTTGTGAAAATCTTAATTGATTCCCAAAATTTGGTTGTAAAGTATTCTCAAAAGTAAATTTGCAAAACTATAAAAAGAGGGGACCACTTACATTATCAGCTCCATATGTTGAGAGGATGATATCATTGAGGGCTATGCTAATTAAAAAAATTCCTCAAACATATAGAATCACAGGCAAAATCGGGATTTTAAGCGAAATCGGAGAGGGGTAGTAAAATCGGAAACGTAAAATCGGATCGTAAAATCGTAAGACTTTACATGTATTGTACAATAAATATATTTAGTACTTACTACTTAGAAAACATCCGTAACACAAATAAAATAAGTCATAATATACATAATATATGTCCTAACAAATATATAACATCCCAAAATTAACAAAACGTGTTTAACATTAATTAAACATAGTCTAACATAAATTGTGTTAGGAGATAACTGAAACTGGCAAAAGAGAAGTATTTTCTTCACGTCGTGATAGATTGTTATTTTAGGGCAGGGCTGAGCTTTATATATTCTGGATTATTTGGTAATTGGCTAAAAAAATTTAGTTTAAAAACTGAATTTATGAGGCCAAAATCCAAAATTTCAGCCCAATTCTTGACAATCGCCAAAATCGCACTAAAATTCCGTTTTTAACGATTTTGAACGTGATTTCACACGATTTTAAGGCACCTGCGATTTTAGTGCAATCTTACTCATTTACAGTGTGTAAAATCTTAAAGTCTTACGATTTTACGATTTAGATCTCGATTTTAACTACATTAATCACAAGAGCCCCTTGAGCTTCACTTTTATTTTATAGTAGAGAAATATTCAAATAATAATTAAAACTGAATAGTTTATAACTTGTAAAACGTAATTTGCCTACTGCATTTTGAAAATAAAAGCATCAAAATATTGCCCATCTACAAAGGAAAATGGCGACATCTAAACATTGTGAATATTTAGCCATGTACATAATTGTTGGTCGAAAACCTACACGCAAGTGCACGTATCGTACAAGTAATATAGTGGACTAAAAGTCCGGATATCGAACCCACAGGGAATATTTAATTATCTAATCCTAGACGCTAAATTCTACCAATTATTATCAAGCCCACCATACACAGTCGACTTTAGAGAGAATTAACTAAAATAAATTAAAAAGCAAATTAAAACGACAAAGCAAGAAAGCAAATTAAACACGAAGATTTATCAGAGTAAACGAGCCTAGGATTTTATTCTTCCCCCTATGTGATTATTATTCCCCCAATTCCTTCAATCATGCAAGCAATTAACCCGGATTATTAACCTGAGATGCTAAAATAATCATAACCCGCTTCCGCGTGTATTACGATTCTAATACTCTAGATTCAATTACTATATTCCTATGCAATTAATTCTAGAACACAACATTAAGCACAAATCTCAATAATGGTTACCTAAGAGATTAACTATAT